AGAATCTGTCATGTGGTAGTGATACCATTGTAATTAGCTAGTTATTAATAATAGGGAAGGAGCAAAGGGAAGGCCAGACATTGTAGGCATGACATTTGGGCAGCTTCACTAGGAAGCTGCAGCTTTGCACTCCTCAGGGAGCCACTGGCCTATTCCCTGCAAAACACTGGGGAAAGGAATTCAAGGAAGGGAATACAGATGCATGCCCAGTAAAGTTGGGGTGACATAGGGAAAGTACTTGCCTGTTAGTCAAACCTGGCAAGAATGGGTGTGGCCACTGCGAGTGCACGAAAATTTGGGAATACATAATCTCCTAAACAAAGGCGTTCACTCCCTTGGCTCTTAGTGACTCTTGACTCAGGGGGCTCTGTTGTTCCTGCTTCCTTGCATTCCCCCATATGGCCCACAGCCATGCAGACCTCACAGCAATGGACTGATGGGTTGCAGTAGGAAACACAGCTAAGCTAGTCTGATGCTGGACTGTACCCAGCTCCAACATGGTAAGGAAACTCTGGACACGGGCTCTGATTTTAGTTCTATTGAAGCCCCAGCTACACTTCTTCTATGACTGGACTAAGGGAAATGGGACTTTGAAAACCCAGGGTTGCAATTCAACCGAAATAAAGCTTTCTACTGTATCTCATCCTCTCGTGCAAATCTCATAAAATTCCCTTTCTTGGGATATCGCAAGAAAGCCACCCTCACAAGCAACAGGGAGAGACAAGGCCCTCTCCCCTCCATTAAGAGTAGGAGCTAATTAAAAGCTTGATCAGACCTACAGATACAGTCCTTCTTGCAAAATTGTTGAGAACTTGGCTCCCTGCTCTCTGCAGTTTCTATTGTGGACTCAGTACAGAGGCATCACTCTCAAGCTCCCGGGCAATGCCTTCAGGGACTGTATATGACACAGGGTTAGGTTCTGATGTGACTCCCAGGATGTCAAGATGGGGACTCTGGAATGACAGGTTGCAAAGGGTCTCACAGTTTAGAAAGGGTCTTCACAGGTCACGTTGCTTGTCTACACCTTAGGGCCATACACTCACTCAAACCCCTGGCTCTCCCTTGTCATCCATTTCTTTGATGTTCATTGCATGAAATTTAGGGGCTACTCCAAGGAGTGCAGATTTCCTGGAGCCATCCTCCTCTGAACATGATCTCCTTATTCTATTTTTCATTCATTCTCCCACACACAATGTGTTTTTTTAATCCTCACCTGAGGATATATTTTTACTGATTTTTTTAGAGAGAGAGAAAGGGAGAGAGAAAGGGAGAAACATCGATGGGTTGTGATCCAATCCGAAACCTGGCTGTGCCCTGGCGGGGAATAGAGCCTGCAACCTTTTTGGTGTATGGGGTGATGCTCCAAGCAGCTGAGCCCCCCGGCCAGGCCACACAATGTTTTATTTTTTCCCCTCCATCTGTCATCTCTTTCCATTTATACCTAAATCAGAAATACACCTATCCAATTGGTTTGGACTATAATTTACCTTTCATTCTCCTTTTTAAAAAGCTTTCCAGGCCTGATTCTTAAAAACAAAAAAAATAAACATAAAATCTCACCACTACTAGCACTGTCACCACCAAAACAACAAAAGAACATACCACCCATTCAACCAACCCAGAGATTTGGGAAAGTTTTAATCACACACTTTGTATTAAAACTGTTCTTATAAACAACTATTTTCCCCATGCCTTTGATGATTTTGGCTAGGGTTTGAAAGCTGGGTCTGAGGGAACTGTCACTCCCATCCCTCAAGCCCCCACCTCAGCCCAGGACTTAGGGCTGGGCAGGTGCCCTTTCTCTTTTCCCTCTGCTTTCCCCCTGTGCCCTTTCTTGTTGTCGTCTTTTCTCCCTATCTTTTCTCATTTCCCCTATTTACTTCCCACCCCGGCTTTTCCCCCACAATTTCCATCCCTCAAAGTTTCCATCCCCAGTTGGGGCCTGCGCTGAACCTCCTACTAAGACCACCTCTAACAAATTGTTCCCCAACTCCTATGGTGCCTGATGAGAGCAGCCTCTTGGGAGCCGCATGCATTTGGCATAGGCAGCTCCCAGTCTCTGTGCTTAGCCAGCACAGATGCCAGAAGTCACCTTCTCCTTTCCCACCTTCCCCTGGGTCCTGGACAGTGGCTGCCTGGAAGCTACTGAAGGCTCACACGGTTTCAAATGGTATCAACCTATTCTCCTAACTTAACATCTTCTCAAATGCTTTCCTCTGCTGGCCTGTTCCTTAGCCTCTGTTAGCTTATTATTTAGATATAAACACTTTTTTTCTCTCTAAAACACAGGAACAAGAAAGGTGCAAGTGTGCTTACCTGATGCATCTAACAAAGCTCACCCAGTTCATGCAGAGTCTCTGCACAAAGGAGGCTCTTGTCTGCTCCAGTTTTTCCTTCTCTCTAGGATGCTAATTGTCTTTCTTTTGATTATCTTGTAGTTTTGGCCTGAAGTCTAAAATCTGGCCTGCTGGGCTATGTGTCAGATTTGTAAATTAGATGACATCTGTTTTGAATTTTATCATCTTTAATTTTCTTTCAAGCTCTCTTCATTTATTCATTTCCCCTCCAATTGTAAGGATCAGACTTTGCTGGATGCTTTAGACAAAAGTGTCCACCTTTCTGCTTTTGTGGGGCACAGATTAAAATTACTGAAGCTAAATGGTCACAATGAAGGCTATTCAGGGGAAAGATGTTGGGAGAGAAGCCCTAGCAACCGTCCTAGAGAGGATGAGCAGTTAATACAAAAGCTTGGTTTCCCACACCAGCATTTTGCAGTTCCCACCGAATAATTGTAATCGATTAGAAGGAGACTGACAGTGAGGGTTGAACGGGGTGAAGTATTCTGAATGGAAGAGACTGAGGTGGTAGCGATGGCAGTGCTAGTAGTGCGTGAGGTGACTGGCGACCTTTTCTCTCTTCGCATTTAAGTTTCCTCCTTGCTTTTTCTTTTTCTCAGAAAAATATAAAGGGAGGAGACACTAAAATGCATTCTCATACATGAAGACTCATGTTTTGATAGTGAGGCCTTATGTTTTCTCCTCCTATCTGCATACCTGCTAAATTCTTCTTTTCATGGGGAGACTGAGTATTACTTACTGGCTTGGGCTTACTTATTAAGGATCAATTTTCCTGGTAGAATGCCTAATGTAATACTCTTGTATAACATGTTTTCTCTTTACATAAACCTTTTTCACACATATGATCTCACAGATGTCAGTTGGCCTCTTGCAACTTTGCATTTGTAGAGGCAATAGAGAACGGATGAGTGGCTGGCCAAAACATGTGCCTGAGCTCTCACATCTGATCCAGATGTTAGTCATCACTGGGAGAACCAGCAGGCCGGCTGTGGGCCGAATACAAAATGGCTCCCCCAAGCACCAGCTGTAGAAGCTCTAAACAAAACTTCCGAAACCACACCATGAAAGCTGGCCAGCAGTGACTCTGTGCTTGCATATAAACGACAAGTCATCCCTTCATGGGGCTGGCCCTGGATTTCTTGGATGCTGCCGTGTTTGAGCTGTTGCTAGGCAGGTCAGAGGTCTGCGAAAGTGCTATTTTTGAATGGAGCATGTAGATAGCAGTCATTTTCAACTAGGGGTGATTTGGTAATGTCTGGAGACACTTTTGGTTGTCACAACTGAAAGAGAACGTTGTTACTAGCACGTAGTGGGTAGAGGCCCTGGATGCTGGTAAATATGCTATCATGCACAGGACAGCTTCACAACCAAGAATTATCTAGCCCCAATTTTAACAGTACCAGAGTTAGAAACCCTGGTATATAGGCATCTATATGTTGAACCAGGTAACAACAGGTCTTTATATGCTCAAACAAAACTATGGTGTTGACAGAAAGGGGCACTTGCATTTGTCTTCCTCGGATCAGCAGTTATTGTTGACTTTGATGATCATATTGGCCAGATAATATTCTCTGTTGAACAGTGGGCAAAGAGAACCTTCTGGGTTGGCTCCCCTCTTGCTACCTCTTTTCTTGGTTATCAGCATCATCTTCCACGTGTATCTTCCACTCAAGCTAGAGTGTATTTCATCCACTCTTCTCTCCTTCTCCTCACCATACTTCCTACTAGTGATCAATTCCTCATAATCCTGAGCTCTCTCTTTATAATGATCTGCCCTGACTTCTTAAGTTCCCCACCACAGACCACAATTGAAGGAGGCTATTGTCAAGGTTCCAGCACTAACATGCTGGCCACTCTCTCTCTCGTCAGTCTTCTGCTCCTGCCAAATCCATTCAGTGCCCCACAATGCTAGCCACTTCCTCATTCATCTAGTCCTTTGGTGAGAAAATATTTATTGAGTGCCTACTATCTGGTAATTACGAGGCTAGGAGCTGCGATCATTCCCTGGATTAAAATCTTCCCAAATTTCCATGTTGCTTACAGGACAAACCCCTTGCTTCCTTACACAGTGTGTAAGACCTCTGATAATATGACTCTGATCTAACTTTTCAGCTTACTGATGACCTTGAACCTGCCACATTGAACCAACTGCTTTTCCTTAGTTCAGGTCATACATTCTTAAGCTCTTTTATCCTGACATGTGAGGAGTGTCCTTTCTACTCTTATCTGGGGTACTCTCATTCATCCTCTGCAAGTTACTCTAGTACCTAAACAGATGTTTGACACATGGATGCTACTCAATAAATATGGAATGAACTTAAATTTCACCTTCTCTGTAAAGTACTCTTTACTTGCCCGGCTGTTGGTCAGTGTATCTCTCATGCTCCATAGCTCATTGTATGCATTTCGATTAAAACCCTGCAACATACTCTGACTGTGAACCCCTTGAAGGATGGTGTTTGAGAGTACCCCATATTTAGAAAATGTCCTGGCAAGTGTCATAATTAGAAGTTACTCTAGGTTGAGATAGTGGGTTTGGCTTTCTTTGGGAAGTTTAATGTCTACAAAAGAAAGTGTAGCTGTCTGTGCTCTGCCTCCATGGATTTACGATAGATATCTGAGTTCACAGTAATTCTTGCTCACCTGTCACTTCTGGGCTTGGTGGTTTCCAGTTGTCGGGTAAGGAGCTTGGCAATGGCAGTGAAGCTGTTGCTCATGCGGAAGATGTCTCTGCTCTGAGGGCCCAGGATGCAGGGGAATGTGTCTGTGATGCTCTTAATTTCCAGCAGAACAATATGGTGAAAGGAGTGCTCCATGTTGGCCAGCTGACTCACCAGGAATGGCAGGCAGCTCCTGGCTCTCTCCTGCCAAGAACAGTGAAGAACATATAAGAGTGTTGGTGGGACTGTAAACTAGGGCAAACACTATGAAAAATAGTGTGGATGTTCAAGAAATTAAAAATAGAACTTCCATATGATCTAGCAATCTTACTTCTGCGAATATACAGCCAAATGAAATCATTATCTTGAAGAGACAGCTGCACTCCCACATTCAGTGCAGCATTATTCACAGTATCTAAGACATGTAAACAAGTGTCCACTGATAAGTGAATGGTTAAAGAAAATATAACACACACACACACATATATATGCATGCATATGCGATGGAATATTATTCAGCTATAAAAAAAGAAAATCCTGCCATTTGCATTAACATAGATGAACCTGGAGGTCGTTATGCTAAGTGAAATAAGATAGACAATAAAAGACAAATATTGCATGGTATCACTTATACGTATGATCTGAAACAAAACACTCATATAAACTGAGACTAGAAAGGGGTTGCTAGGGACTGGGGATGGGAGAAATAAAAGTGTATAAACATTTAGTTATAAGATGATAAGGTCTGAGAACCTAATGGACAGCATGGTGACTATAGTTGATAACATTGTCTTGTGTAACTGAAGTCAGTTAAAATATGCGATAGATGAGAGATCCAAGACGGTGGAGGACTGAGTGGAAGCTACTCTCCAAGGACCAAACTGGAATTATAACTACAGTAGAGAAAAATATCCTGAAAACCAACTGAAGATGAGCTGGGGAGCACCCTCATAACCAAGGAGGAAAAGCGGAGACTGCACAGAGACTAGGAGGAAGTACGGACGCGAGAGGGCTGGCTGGGCTCCCACAGGTAGCAGCTGAAGGTCCCGAGGGAGATCTCAGCTGGGGGGGTGGGGGGTGTCCCACTGAGGACTCTGGGGACTAAACTAAAGGCTGGGCTGCCCAGCCCAGAACACCAGACCTGAGAAAGGTGCCCACCTAACATCTGGCTCTGAAAAGCAGCCAGGTTTCTGTCTGCCAGGGAGAGATAGCTCAAAATGCAGGCACCCTCTTAAAGAGCCAACACACAATGTTTCATGTTCAGCCACTCACCTTGGGCACCAGTGGAGAGGGAGTGGAGTGGACTGGAGCTGTGTGGGTAGAGTCTGGGTTGTGGGCTATGGAGAGTGAGATCAGGGGATGCACATCTGGATTCCTGTGCTGAGTCATTCCCTGGACTGTGAAGGACATCTTTCTTGGGCTGCAAATTTTGGGCTTTTGCCTGAGGGGGAAGCAATTGCCCCACCCTCTCCCCCTTTCCAGAGGAGTTTCTGCAGCCTGAGGCTTGTTAAGAGACTGATAACCAGATGCCCCACCCTGTGGAGCTTTTACTATGTGAGGCTCATTAAGAGAATCAGATTAATCAGTCCACAGGCAGAGGGAGGCCTCAGGGTGCTTTGAATCTTTGCCTGATCTGCTTCTGGACCTGGGCCTTAGAAAAGCAGACTTTGGTTTGCATATGCAACCTGTCCAAACCCACCCAGCCCCAGCAGTGGAGACCTCAGGCCTAGGGTTCTTGATAGCTCTAAACAGGGTACTCAGGGCCAGTGAAACTGCATCTGACATTGGCCTGTACCAGAAACCCTCCAAAAAGACTGAGAGTCCTAGCAGGTCTCCTAACACTTAAAAACAAACCCAAAAAAGTAGACAAAATGGGGAAACCAAAAAACAAGCCCCAAATGAAAGAACAAGGTAAGTCTTCAGAAAAAGAGCTCAATGAAATGAAGATAAACAATCTCTCAGATATAAGTTCAGAATACTGATTGTAAGGATGCTCAACAGCATGAAAAAAGATATGGAAATTATGAAGGAAATTAAGACTGACATAGCAGAAATAAAGAATACAGTGGAAGAAATAAACAGTAGATTAGAAGAAGCTGAAGATCCAATCAGCCAATTAGAAGACAGGGTAGGAAACACTCAATCAGAGACCCAAAAAGAAAAAACAATTAAAAAACAGGAGGACAGTCTAAGGGAGCTGTGGGACAGCATGAAATGTAACTATATTTATATTATAGGAGTACCAGAGGAGGTCTAAAATAAGCAGGACTTAGAGAACCTGTTTGATGAAATAATGGCAGAAAACTTCCCTAACCTGGTCAAGGAAAAGGCCACACAAGTTCAGGAGGCACAGAGAGTCGCAAGAGGAAGAATCCAAAGAGGCCCATGCCATGACACATCATAATTAAAAATGCCAAGAATTCAAGACAAAGGGAGAATCTTAAAGGAAGCTAGAGAAAAGCAATCTGTTACCTACAAAGGAGCCCCCATAAGGCTGTCATCTGACTTCTCATCAGAAACTCTAAGGCCAGAAGGGAATGGCATGAAGTATTCAAGGTAATGCAAAGCAAGGATCTGAAACCAAGACGACTCTATCCAGCAAGGCTATCATTCAAGAGAGATGGTGAAGTAAAGAGCTTCCCAGACAAAAAAAGGCTAAAAGACTTTATCACTACAAAACCAGCATTACAGGAAATGTTAAAGGGACAGCTATAATTAGAAGTAGAAATAAAGAGAATGAGAAACATGGGCATAAAGAAACAAAATGGCAGTAGATAAGTATCTTTCAGTAATAACCTTAAATGTAAATGGATTAAATGCATGCCCCAATAAAAAGATATAGGGTGGCTGAATGGATAAGAAAACATGACCCAAATAGATGCTGTCTACAAGAGACCCACCTCAGAACAAAAGACTCACACAGGATGGGAGTGAAGGGATGGGAAAAATTTTCCATGCAAATGGAAATGAAAAAAAAAAGCTGGGGTAGCAATACTCACATCAGACAAAATAGGCTTCAAAATGAGACCATAACAAGAGACAAGAAAGGTCATTACATAATACTAAAGGGATCAATCCAACAAGAGGATATAACCCTGCCCAGCCAGGCGTGGCTCAGCGGTTGAGCTTCGACCTAGGATCCAGGCGATTGGGGTTCGATTCCTGGTCAGGGCACATGCCCGGGTTGTGGGCTCGGTCAATGGCTCTCTCATCATTGATGTTTCTATCTCTCTCTCTCCCTCTCCTTTCCTCTCTCTGAAATCAATAAAGATATATTTAAAAAAAAAAGAGAGGATATAACCCTGATAAACATATATGCACTCAATATAGGAGCACCTAAATTTATAAAAATACTTCTAGAGGACTTTAAGGGAGAGATCCACAGCAAGACAGTCATACTAGGGGACTTTAATACCCCACTGACTTCACTGGATATGTCTCCAGACAAAAAAATCAACAAAGAAACAGTGACCCTAAATGACACACTAGCTCAGATGGATTTAATTGACATTTACAGAACATTCTACGCCAAAGCTGCAGAATATACATTCTTCTTAAGTGTACACGGGACATTCTCAAAGATGGACATGTTAGGACACAAAACAAATCTCTACAATTTCAAGCAGACTGAAATCATATCAAGCGTCTTCTCAGACCACCGTGGCATGAAATTAGAAATCAACTACAATAAGAACACTAAAATACATTTAAGCACATGGAGGCTGAAAAGCATGCTTTTAAACAATGAATGAGTTGCCAAAGAGATCAAGAAAGAAATCAAAAACATCCTGGAAACAAATGAAAATGAACACACAACAACTCCAAATTTATGGGACACAATAAAACCCGTCCCGAGGGGGAAATTCATAGCACTACAAGCCTACCTCAAAAAACAAAAAAACTTCTAATAGACTCTCTAACCCTACAACTTAAAAACTTAGAAAGAGAACAAAGAAAAGCCCAGAGTAAGTAGAAGGAAAGAAATAATAAAAATCAGAGCAGAAATAAATGACATAGAGACTAAAAAAACAATACAAAAGATCAATGAAACCAAGAGCTAGTTCTTTGAAAAGATAAACAAGATTCGTGAACCTTTAGCCAGACTCATCAAGAAACAAAGAGAGGACCCAAATAAAATCAGAAATGAAAGAGGTGAAATAGCAACTGACTCAACAGAAATACAAAGGAGTGTAAGAAAATAGCATGAACAACTATATGCCATNACAACTGACCCAACAGAAATACAAAGGATTGTAAGAAAATACTATGAACAACTATATGCCACCAAGCTGGACAACCTGGATGAAATGGATAAATTCCTAGAAAAATACAACCTTCCAAAACTCAATTAGGAAGAGTCAGAAAGCCTAAATAGGTTGATAACTGCTGATGAAGTTGAATCAATAACCAAAGGGCTCCCAGCACACAAAAGCCCTGGCCAGGATGGCTTCACAGGGGAGTTTTACCAAACATTCAAAGAAGAATTAACACCTATCCTCCTCAAACTATTTCAAAAAATCCAAGAGGAAGGAACACTTCCAAATTCTTTTTATGCGGCCAGCATTAGCCTAACTCCAAAACCAGATAAAGACACTGCAGAGAAAGAGAATTACAGGCCAATATCCCTGATGAACATAGATGCTAAAATCCTCAACAAAATATTAGCACATTGGATCCAGCAATATATTAAAAAGATCATACACCATGACCAAGTGGGATTTATTCCAGGGATGCAAGGCTGGTACAATATTCGCAAATCAATAAACGTGATACATCACATAAACAAACTGAAAGACAAAAATCACATGATCATATCAATAGATGCAGAAAAAGCATTTGACAAAATCCAACACCCATTTCTGATAAAAATTCTCAGCAAAGTGGGAATAGAGGGATCATACCTCAACACAATAAAGGTCATATATGACAAAGCTACAGCCAACATCATTCTCAATGGACAAAAACTAAAACCATTTCCCCTAAGAACAGTAACAAGACAGGGGTGTTCACTTTCACCATTCTTATTCAACATAGTACTGGAAGTCCTAACCACAGCAATCAGACAAGAAGATAACATAAAAGGCATCCAAATTGGAAAGGAGGAAACAAAACTGTCATTATTTGAAGATGACATAATATTGCGCATAGAGAATCCTAAAGACTCCACCAAAAAATTACTAGATTTAAGAAATGAATTC